AAAAGTACTACTATGGTCTGAGCTTGTGTCTTCCCTTCCCTTCCCCTAAATTCATATATCGAAACCTGTAAAGATTTTAGGAGGCGGGCTTTTGGAAGGTGGTTAGGTCCCCTGATGGTATTAGTGTCCTCATAAAAGAGGCTCAAAAGCTGCCTTACCCCTTCCACCATGCAACACTGCAGCCAAAAGTCATCACTTATGAACCAGGAAATGGACCTTCACCAGTCACTGATCTACCTTGATGTTGGACTTCTCAACCTCCAGAACTGTGAGCAATAACTTTCTGTGATATCTTGTAGCAGCCCAAATAGGTTAAGACAGGTACTCAGGTGATTGTAATGTCTGGACAGCATGGGAAACCTCAGCTAGAAGTGCTCTTGACAACTGTATCTCAAACTGCCAAGAGTCTGCATGCTGTAAAAGAAATGGAACATGATGGAAACACTAATGGCCTGAGGAAAGGAAGACCATTGCTTGTCTATCATCTAGGACAAGTAAACAACTGAGCCCATGCAAGGAGCTATGGAATTCTGTATTATCCCATAGTCCCAACAACTCTGCTCTATATTTTTCTGTTGCTGTAAATCCAACAGCTTAAATGCATGTTTAACGTAAGCTACCTCACAGTTTTGCAGGTCAGAAGTCCCTGTGAGTTAGGCTGGGTTCTCTGCTTCTATGTCAAAGTATCAATGGGCTGGGCTCTCACCTGGAAGCTCTGGGAAAGAATTGCTTTCCAGGTCACTTAGGGTGTTGGCAAATTTCACCCTTTTCAAATTGCCTGATGATGTTAACTGAATTATCAGTGTCCATCAGGGTCTAAGGACATAGCATAGCCCTAGGAATGCAGTGACACTTATGCATGTGTGGAGTAGTTGCATTTTGTTGTGTTTCTTGGGAGGTGACAGAGGACTTTGGAAAGACTGAGAATGAATTCCATGAATTCATCAAAGGGTATTCCAGGTCAAAGTTCCTCAGTGAAGGGAAGGCAGAAGGTAAGGCAAACTAACTGTCCTCAGCTCAGCTGAGCCCTGAGGGCCCCAGGACAAAGGGCCCTAAAGTACCTGTAGCCAAAAGATGACTTCACAAGTGCAAAGTGCAAAGTGCCCTGTGTGGCATTTTGTGGGTATCCACAAGATCTCAGCATTCTGATGCTTTAGTGCTATGAAGTCCCTATTTTTCTTGGCTATCAGCCAGAGATCCTCTTCAGCTCTTTCTCATGTGCCCCCTCCAGCTTCACCAGCAGTGAGCTCAGAACTTGTTATGCATTCTTATGCCCAGAACTTTCTCTATCTTCTGCCCTTGGCATTTAAACAGCTTGTATAACTAAACTAGACCTGAATAATCTCCCTTTCATCATATAAAGTGGAGGAGATTATACAAGAGTGGGGAGTCACTGGTCTAAATCATTCTTACAATTCTGGCCTATCACTTTGTCATGGGCCCCTCTAGTATACTCATCATAATCCCTACCTAGGAACTCACGAGGTGAGGAACTCCCAACTGTCCTCAGACTTGACTCACTGTGATCCTCCTGTCCTTCCTTTGGTGCTGCACTTTTCAACCCAAAATCTGGCCTCCTGCAGTGACTGTTTGTATTTGTACTGACTCTTTGCATTGCCTTTTTAAAATACTATAGCCTTTTTACCCCCTTTCAGCATTTCTGTAACCTATACATAATTGTGTAAAGTATGATGAGTGATTTGAATGTTATAGATATTAGTAAGTAAGATTGGAATGCAATAAAGAATTTCAATTGCCATGGCCATAAATCCAAGTGAAAGCAGTACCACTTAGCGAAGGAAAGTCAATGAAATTGATGTAACTTGCGAAACTGTTGATATTCAATAAATTCTGAAATTGTGAAAAGACACAAGTGAGTTGGTCCATGTTAATGACATAGCTTGTTCAAGACGGTAAAGTAAAAAGAAGATATTCTAAGTCAAAATGCATATGGCTACTGGTATTCAACAATTTATTCTGAGAGAAAAAGCTTATAACGTGTCATATACAGACAGAGACAGATAAAGAATGATTTGTGAAAAGTAAATAAAGTAGACACATAAGATTTATACTTCTCTCAAAGTTATAGACATTTAAAAATAAATGAAAAATACTCCAGACAATGGGCTTCATCAAATGCCAAATATTTTGAAAACCAACTCAAGATGTTCACGAAAACAACAAAACATTTGCTACAGCAGGAAATATTCTCACGACTATGACTGGAACTATCTTGTCTTTCGCCTCCCTGCCATCTAATTATATCAACGTTATATCACAAAGGACCAATTCTTTCTGATAATTTTAATTATCTTTTAATTCCCTCCCACAGGTCCTTGGATCCATTTCTATGGAGGGGGAAATGACAGCACTCAACCATCAGCAATAGATTGCAGCTCAGCTGCAGGCGAGGATTTGTTCCTGATTCCTGTCTTTAATGGTTTTCTTCAATTTTCCATTACCATTCCTGTTTCCTTAATGCTAAAACCTCCCGCAATCATCTTTCTCTCTCTTTTCCATTTCCTCAGAAGCACTGCTGACAATGGTGCTGATGAATGGTGCTGTTGAGGTGGCTTTCATTTTGGGGGCAGACTGACTCTTACCCTGGGGCTGAAGCAGAACAGATAGCATTGCTAAAAAGAATAAATAATGAACCAAACACTAGTGTGTCCTCTGTTACTGGTCATGAACATGACCAGTTTTTTTTTTTTCTTTTTCCTCTTTTGACATAACTTGAGAAGAAGGTAATGCTGAAGATACCAACAGATAAGATACTTATGTTCTTGGGAAGACTCTGATTTTAAGATGGGTGATTGACATTGATTGATATAACAAGGAGAATCCCAGCTCTGCTTTTCACCTATCTGGACTGAGGCATATCTAAGAGCCAGTTTCTTGCCAGTTTCTATTTTTTTCTGTTTCTGCCACTCTCAAACCTTTGAGGTTGGGAAAAGTATGTCATGGTGCCATAACCTTCAGAAGTTTTAGCAAAATGAGGTAAATGTATGAGAAGCTGAGCATGAGTAGAACAATGCAATAGGATTTGGCAATTTCAAGCAGGCATCTATTTAGTGTGAGCTGTAGAACAACAAAGCTTCTAGAAGAAAACATAGAATATCTTCATGACTTTAGATTAACAATGATTCTTAAACAGGATACAAAAGCACTAACCACTAGAGAAAAGATCAATTAGAGTTAAGAGGTATTCTCCTCAAAAGAGTAAAACCTCAAGCCAGAGGGGAGAAGGTATTTGCCATACATCTATTTGACAAATAATTTATACCAAGAATATATAAAGAACTCTTAAAAGCAACAAGAAAATGGCAAGGTGATTTTAAAAATGGGCAGGGGCTGGGCATATAGCTCAGTGATAGAGCACATATTTGGAATGCAGGAGGTCATGGGTTCAATCTATAGCACAAGAAAGAAAAGAAACGAAGACAGAAAGTGCAAAAGACCTGAGAAGGTACATTTTCACAGAGACTGTTCAAATGGCCAACTGGCATAAGCTCAATTCCATTAACCAACAGGAATATGCAAATCAAAACCACAATGAGGACAAGAGGCATGGCTCAAGTGGTAGAGTGTCTGCCTACCAAGCCAAAGCCCTGAGTTCAAACTCCAGTAACACAAAACAAAACAAACAAAAAAACCCAAAACATACACACAATTGAGATACCACTATACATTCACCCAAATGACCATGAGTAAAGAAGACTGACAATGTCAAGTGTTGGTGAGAAGGTAGAGAAATAGAGCTCTTGTAAATTGCTGGTACGATACACAATACACAACTACTTCAGAAATGTTTGCCTTATCTACTATACTTGAATATATGCATACCCTATGGCCCAGTAATTCATTCCTACATATATCCAGCAGAGATGAGAGCATATGTGTTCTAAAACACATGTACAAGAGCATACCAGTACTATTTTATAATGGCCCCAAACTAGAAATAACTCAATTGTCTACCAATAAGTAGATAAACATTGATATAATCATACAGTGGGCTACTAGATGGCAAAGAAAATAAATAGGGCTAGAGATGTAGGTTAAATGGCAGAGTGCCTGCCTAGCAAGTGCAAAGTCCTGAGTTCAACCCTAAGTACCACCTAAATAAATAAATAGTTACATGTGATAAAATAGATAAATATTACTAGCTTAATACCATGTGGGAAAGCTGGATGCAAATATGATATAGTTTTCTGTTCCATTTATATAAAATTCAAGTGCAGATAAAACTAACAGTATATTTAGGGATGAGTACTTTTGCATAAAACTGTAAGAAAAAGAACAGTCAATAGATATTTAGGGAATAGTGAGAGGTTATGGTAGAAAGTCACATAAAAGGTTTGTGGGAACTGGAAATGATGTTTGTAGATGGGATTTGTAACTATGGGTATTCACTTCGTAATAATTCACAGGACTCTATATTTCATGCACTTTTCTCTTTGTGTATGATATTTCATAATAGAAAAGTTTAAACCTGTATCAGGTGTTACTTCCTTGTCTGACCTGAACAGAAAACACGTACTGGCCTAGTAAACCAAAAGTCTTAAACAGACAACTCTTGAAGGTATAGAAAGAAAATTTTTGGAAGCCAACCTCTTGGAGCCTTTATGTGAATTTGGAAAAGATAACCTTTAGGGAAGGAAGCTTTAGCAAAAGATGTGTCTGTGGGTGGAGTCGGTCTGTCAGGCACACTGCTTGGGTGGCTTATGTCTCCTATGAGAAAAGGACTCCCTTCCTGCAGGAGATGTGCTTCTGCATTTAGGGATACAGTTTGTGGAGTGCACTGCAAACTGGCTTTCATTCCCACTTGCCTTCTCATCTAGGGGGCCTTTGCACAGTGCACAAATATCATCCCCTCCCTAGAAGCACTGCTTGGGAGAGTGGAAAGATGAAATCATATGCACATTGGACCACCAATGTGGAGCACACATGGAACATGTCCTGACACAGGACCATTACTGCCCAACTGGCTGCAATGTCCTTACCGCATAACCTTCTGTCTTCTTCTGGCACCATTTCAGTAGGGCATTGCGCTTGGAGCCACCATATTCCCGAGCCAAGGCTGCCAGAGGGTCTCTTCTTTCCACACTGGTTAGAAAGAGAAGATGCTGGCTTTTAGAACACTCAAATATGTAAAAAAACAAAACCAAATTACATTAGAAAAAGCAAGTCTAGGTTTATCCAGAGTGTCTTTAAAGAAACAACCAAATAAGTCACATTAAGGGCTGGGGGGAGGACGAGCATGGCTTAAGTGCAAAACCCTGAGTTTGAATGATAGCACTATCAAAGAAAATTTATTGTATCTCACAGTATGAAAGAAAAAAACCAAATCATGCTTCTTTTTCATTAGCATAAAGGAATTACACAAAGGGGTTTCATTGTGATATTTACATGCATGCATATAATGCATTTTGATCAAATTCACCCCATCTATATTACACTTTCTCTCCCCTCTCTCCTTCCCCCTCCTTTTAAAATTTTTAGTGGGTTTTAAATTGTGCTTCTTGACAACTGTAAGTATGGGGAGAGTTTCGTTTTTGTTTTACAATTCATCCATCTAGCCTTTTATTTGTTTAGTGAAGAATGCTATCATTTTAATTATAGATGCCTACATAGAAAACATTCCACCTGTCTGAAGGCCACATCTATATCTAAGGAACATGAAAGAGGCAGAAAGGAAGTGAATATTAGAAACACCAGATTGCCTATTATGGGAGATGACAGGAGTGGGGAGGAGGAAGAGGAAATCAGTAAAATAAAATGAAATGACTCAGAAAGAGGGACTCTGCACATACTAAGGAAATATTTACCCTTTGCAGTTTGTGGAACATTAACTCAGTTCTGAGTAGCTGACTTAGCAAAGTTGAGAAAACTTCACCAATCCCTTAGTATCTCAAGAGCAAGAGCTTAGGTGGCTATCCTCTGTTTTCTATCAACATAACATTATTTTTTATGCTAGCCAAAATTACTCAGAAGTTAAAAAGGCATTTTAGGATCACACCGTTCCTTCCATCATGAAATAAGAATTGTATTTCCATAGGATTTTTGTACAGTGCTATATTTCCCTAACACCATTTGTAGCAGCACAGGAAAAGAGAAACTGGACCAAGAGGAAAGACTACAAGGGAAGTGCCTCTTTGGAACATCACTTAGAGCAGGCAATGGTGTAAGAGTAATATGATTTATTCCTAGGATAGATATCAGCAAGGTATACACACAAGAATGCTCATGGAGGCACTCATTATAACAGCAAAAAATTATAAATGAACCAGATGCATACCAACAAGCAAATGGATAAACAAGCTGTGGTACAGTATGTAATGGAACACTCTACAGCAAGAAAAATTAATGAAATAGAGGTATGCAGTTATGCAAATAAATATCAGAAATGACTGTGAATGAAAAGAAAAAAGAAAATGCATGGTATTTTTCCATGCATTCAAAATTTTAAATATGGAATTTAGATGATATATTATTTATATTGTTTGGAATATAAACTTGTAGTCATATAGCAAAGAAAAGTGAGGAAAAGGCTAGGGATGGAGCTCAAAGGTAGAGTCTTGCATAAAGCCCTGGGTTTGTTCCTAACACCAGAAAAAGAAACAAATTTTTAAAAAGCAAGGAAAGACAAATATTAAATTTAGAATTGGAGAGGGAAGGAAAGGAAATGCAAACAGAAGAGGTGAGAGGAAATTTCACAAGTAATGATTTTCTTTTCCTCAAACTAGGAGATCCGGTATCCAGGTAGATCTCCACTGTTTGGTTATTCTTCACAGATTTCACATTCTTACTCTTTTATATTGTTGGGGCTCAGAAAATGAAACCCAACAGACTGGTGCTTTAGTATGTTGTGAGGCCTTAGAAAGCTGCTTTAGACTTAAGATCTGCTATAGATCTGCAATGTCCCCCAAAGGCCCATGTGTTAAATAAAGGCTTTGTCTCCAGAGCAGCAGGAGTAGTAGTGAAACCTTTAAGAAGTAGGGCCCAGTGGGAGGCCTTAAGGTCACTGAGGGTATGCCCTGGAAAGTGACTGCTCCTCTTCCCTTTCTTTTTTGCTTCTTGGCCATGATGGGCATGGTTTTGGTCTACCATGTGCTTCTACCACAATGTGCTGCTTTACTGCAGACCCAAAGCCACAGGGCTGACAAATCATGGACCAGAACTCTAAAAATGAGCCAAATTAACCTTTCCTTTGTATAAGTTGCTTATCTCAGGTATTTGTTATAGCATATGAAAGATAACCTAACATAAGGCCCCTCTGGCTACCCCTGTTGCTCCTCTGCAAGAAATCCCAAGAGAGGAGCACAAATGCCTTCAGTCTTCTGACTCAGATTTCACTAGTCAGAAAAGACCAAACTCATTTCACAGGAAGAAAGACTGAAAGTCAAACATCACATACAGAGTCTGTTTCTCCTGGGTCTATTCATCCACTCAGAAAATTAATCAACTATTCCTCTGAAGTTGCCTGTACCCCCACCTTTTTTCTCTTCTGCTTTTTGTTTTATTTTGTTTTTTGTTTGTTTACTTTTGTGGTACTGGGGATTAAACTCAGGGCCTTGTGCTTGCTAGGCAAGTGCTCTACCACTTGAGCCAGGCTCCATCCTCCCTCTCTCCTATGAAGAGGGTATTTATGCGTTAACTAGCTGACCTTTTCTTTGTGTCTCAACCTTTGTGTATGGCTCCCAGGTTTCTGCATTTAAAAAAATTTTTAAAGCTTTTTCTTGTTAATCTTTGCCAATTTATTTAATACACTAAAATTATCAAACCTTCTTAGGGAAAGTTTGAACTTCCTACAGTATCCATACAATATTTAATAAAAATATTTTGAAATGATTGCCAAAAGAGGAACAGGAAGAGTCTAGATCTCAGTAATATGAACTAAGACAAAGAGACTCTTAGAAAAATAGTTCAAACATGCATTTAAATTTTTCTCATACAATTTGGTGACTGCTTTTCCATGCACCCGGAAAATCTGTAAAGTCACGCCCAGGAGTTTCTTTGGTCAAGTTACTGTTAATTGCAAAACCCTGGTGACCACACCTGGAGTTATGTCATCCCTCAGAACTGACCTTCTACACCTGACAAATTAGACAGGACTTAAATGAAAGCTTGGACAAGTTTCTATAGAAATGAAATACTGAAGAATTTACCAAACTTTAAAAAAATTAACTAAATATAATCCCCCCCAAGAAATTTATAACATATGTTGAGAACTTCTAATGTAAGAAATTTATATCCTGCCATGGGTTAATCTCAATGACATGAAAATAAAATGTAAATAAATTAATTTCACTAACTTGACCTTTCATGATGAATGGCATAATATATATAGAATATAAATATACACATAATCTTTTGTATGCATTTTTGGCATTAATTTGAGAACAGAATTAATTTTGGTCCTTAATACCTACTTTTATTATTTAAATCTCCTGCAAATAAAAGGGTTGGGGGGTGTGGCTCAAGTGGTAGAGAGCTTGCCTACCAAGCAGAAGATCCTGAGTTCAATCCTTAGTAACACAAATAAAAAATTATCCTGCAAATAAACAAGACAATATATAATATCTGGGGCTTTAAATTAAACCTTTGAAACACATGACATCATCTAGTTGGGTCCAAATATAGGTTACACCCAAAGATACCAGAGCTGAATTTATTCAGACTTTCATAAATCCTTTTATAATACATATATACAGATAATTAAAATCTTTTTAAAAATAAAGTTCTTACTCCTGAATAGGAGTTTTATATAGTCATCTACCTACCCATTCATAAGTACTCTGAATACTTATGAATACTTATTGCAAAGGCAGGAAGGGAGTAAGACAGGCTTGGATGCAGTGAAGGGTTGAAGGGTTGGGTCACTTTGGCAATCAGAAGGCCAGGATGAGTGTGAACAACAGTCAAGGGAAGCTTCCCACTTCAGTGCTTCAGAAGCCTAACAACATGGAGAAGCAGGGAAGACACGAGAGAGAGAGAGAGAGAGAGAGAGAGAGAGAGAGAGAGAGAGAGAGAGAGAG